TGTAAGAGGCCGATAACAGCAGGTGTAGATTTACTGGTTAGAAATGTGTTGATCAGTGTGACTTTGTGCTAAATATGTGATTTAAACGGTTAACAGAAGACTGTGCTGTGATCTCACTTTTATTTACTGAAGTCTTTGTGTCTCTCAGGTGTTCACATTAACCAGAGGATGTACGGCTGTGAATGGGATGATGAGACAGATGAGGTTAATGGATACTATCAGTTTGGTTATGATGGAGAAGACTTCATATCACTTGACCTGAAGACAGAGACATGGATCGCTCCAAGACAACAGGCTGTCATCACCAAACACAAGTGGGACAATAACAAAGCTTGGATTGCACAGCAAAAGAACTACCTCACCCAGATCTGTCCTGAGTGGCTGAAGAAGTATGTGAACTACGGGAGGAGCTCTCTGATGAGAAAAGGTAAAATCACATGACCTGATTTAATGTCTTTGATTAAATGCTCATTTCCGTCAAGTACTTATCTACCTTGACTAGGGCGGAAACAACGAATGGATTTAATTGATAAAAATTGGTTATTAGAATAGTTGTCAACTAATGTAGTATTCGGTTAGTTGCATAATAACATTTTTACCTGAAGCAGCCATTGTTTTCCAAATTTTAAACCACTCTTTTATAGCAACTACCAAAGTGTGGCATATGAGCCACCAGTGGCTGTAATCCACCAGTACAGCAGGAGACGTAGCAAACAGACAATAGTTGGCCTTGTTTTGCATTATGTGTGCCACAGCACAGTCCATGTATTCAGCGAGAGGCGGCTGGCGAAAGTACATAGAAAAAGGAGAAATTAGATAAATCAGGAGAGAAAACTTCACGAACAAAATCATCCAAAATGTGGCAGCATTTCGCACTAAATGTACAAAACAGATGAGTGACCTGCAAACCTTGCAAAAACGAACTGTTTTTTTTTTCTTTTTGTTAAACAATTTTAACTAGTTTTTTGTGTTCGATGCTTTGAATTGAAAAAGCTTTACACTGACAAGGTAGACATAAAGCTCATTGTGTTCCTTGTTCCTTCTGATTTTAGCTGAGTTTAGTTAAATGAATTAGTAAATAAAATGCACAATTCACTTGTGTTTTTCTTTTTCGTAATGAAAATGTGTTCTTAATTACTTATCAGAGTAAATAAAGGCGAAACAAAAATGTTTGTTTAAAAAAAAAAAAATTTAATCGAATAATTGTAAAGATAATCGACAGATTAATCGATTATCAAAATAATCATTAGTTGCACCCCTAACCTTGACATTTTCATGAACAACCCACTGTGTCTCAGTTTACTGTCTCTCATTTTCTGCCTCCTTCACCTTTTTCTCTCCCTTTTTTCTCTTTTTCTTCATCACCACTCTTATTGTGGTTTGTCTTCCTTTGTCTGCTCAGCTTCTTTCTGTCTCTTTTACTGTCTTTTCTCTGCTTTTCTAAACTTTCTCTCACCTCCTCTCACATCTCTTCATCTGTCTTTCTTCATGGTCTTCTGTACCATCACCCCCTTTTCTTAATTACATTGGGCCTTCAAATGACTTTACTTTTAATATAAATGGTGATACTAGTATTCAGTTAATACAGAAACTATGAGCTGTCTTTCTCTTCTCTCCCCAGAGCCCATTGTGTCTCTCCTCCAGAAGACTGCCTCCTCTCCGGTCACCTGCCACGCTACAGGTTTCTACCCCGACAGAGCCGACTTGTTCTGGACCAAAGATGGAGAGGAGCTTCATGAGGACGTGGACAAAGGAGAGATCCTCCCCAACCATGATGGAAGCTTCCAGATGAGTGTTGACCTGAAGGTTTCATCCATCGCACCTGAAGACCGGAAGAAATACCACTGTGTGTTTCAGCTGTCTGGAGTCAACGACATCAAAACCAAACTGGACAAAGCAGTGATCATTTCTAATGAAGGTAAGACTGAAATCAGAGGTGATGAAGATGACAATCACACAGTTGGTTTACTGTAATAATCCTGCAGTTCATGTGTTTGTATGAGTCATGGATGGAAAGTTCTTTTTTCTTACTTTGTCTTTTGGTCAGTTTCTTTCATACTATTATATGTTATAAACTACTTATATGTAAATTTAAGGTCAATATCAGTATAACATTAATACATGTATCACCAACTTGGAATCATCATGTGATGCTGACCAATTCCCCAAAAGTAAAAATTAAAAGTAATTTGAAAAAGTAATTATTAATGTCCACCACTGTTTACTTCTCTGATTAAACATAACAATTTCAACAACAATTTAATTTTGTATTTAAAATCTGTTACATTTTTGAGTTTATTTTACAGCTTTTAGAGACAAAATTTGGGACCATTTGAGGCCTTTTTAATGTTTAACCACAGTTAAGAAATTACTGCCACAGTATTTATAGAACTAGTGGACAGTTGTTGAGGAGAGGTTTATTTAATAGCAAGTAAGTGTATGTATTGTGTTTTTTAATAGATCTGTCAGAATCAGTTATTTGTTAAATCTGTTTTTTTATGGGCGCCCCTATAGCTCCCCTAGTTGAGCGGGCGACCCATGAACAGGGCTGTAGTTCCCTGATGCAGCGGTCGTGGGTTCGAGTCCCGCTCATGACCCTTTGCTGCAGGTCTCTCCTCATTCTTTTCCCCCCTTTCCTGTTTATCTCTACTGCTCTAAATAAAGGCAAAAAGCCCAAAAAATAGATTTAAAAGAAAAGGGCCTTTACAGTTAAAAGCAATATAAAAACAAAATTTAAATGTTGATGTTAGAAGCTCTCTGTGTGTATTTACAGTGCTAATGTAGACTAGTCTCACCTGCTTCATATGTTCAGATTGTGATTTGTTTGCTGCTGTTTGCTCGACAGGGAATCCTCTCTCCATGATCATCCCCATCGTTGTTGCTGTGGTGGTTCTTGCTGTCATCGCTGTGGTTGGATTCGTTGTCTACAAGAAGAAGAAGGGTGAGAAAACAAAACACACATTTTTGTTTTCCCAGAATTTTGACTTTTACATTTTATCCAGATTGCAAAAGTGAAACAAACCTTAAGTCCCAGCACAGTAAACTCCATAAGTAATCGCTGCAACGCTGAGAGTTGCAGATTCATGAAAATGTGACTATAGTATTAATGTAAGAGAGAAGTGACGTGAAAGAGTAACATAGAACAATTTTCAACTGTAACTACTAAAATAGTTTTTTAATTTTCTTCTACTTTCAGACAAACGTCCTCCATCTCGTAAGTAAAACCTGTCTGGATTCTATTTTCTCTGATCTCACCTGCACTCTACAGATGACCAGTTTCTGTGTTTTGTACAAAATAAATCCTGTTAGTTTTGTTTGTAAAACACAGTGTTGATTCAGATCACGATGTGAGTTATTGTGTTTCTCACTTTCCAGCTGTTGACAACCGTGAGGTCCAGGAGGAAATGCTTCCCAAGGCCTGAATGACAAACACAACCCTGCACACAGTGAGTTGGTTCATGTGTTGAACAGAGCTGATTTCAAACATGTTGTGTAAAGTATAACAGAAAACTTCTGTGACACATTGTAGTTAAAATTAAGTTAGATTATTAAGAGAAAAGATGCAAAGTAAAGTAATATTAACCTTTTGGAAAACAGTGAGACTGCTTTATTATAATGGTTGAACTGAGTTAGAATGAATGTTTGTAGTGTTTACCTGTAAAAAGTATTTTACTTTACAAAATGTTAACACGTAAATATCTGAATCATGAATACTGAAGGTCCAAATGATTCTTTAAATATGTGGTTTTACTCTATATGTAACTGTATTTTTCTCTTTCTTTAGGTTTATGGATACATTTTGCACTGAAACAAGGAGCGGTGTCGCCACATTCTCCTCCATAAACTGGGAATTCATTGGATATTAATCATTAACTGGTAGAAGAAGTGCTGAGGATTGAGTTAGAAATGCTTTTTGATTCAAATCCAGATAACGTTGAAAAACATGAGTCATCAAACAAAGTGATATTAGATTGTTTTGAGCATTTAGTTCTAATTAAAAAGTGGAATTCCCTCTGATCAAACACAGTGATGACTGTCTGCAGAGAAGTAAAACGTATTCAGACGATATTCAAATCATTCAAAGCATCACAGCGTTCTTCATACAAACACAATGAATCAGAGAATTCTGAAACAAACATACCGTACTTACAGTTAAATATTTCTGGTGTTGGGTTTTTCTGTAAATCAATGAATCAAACAATAATGAATACTGATAATACAGATGTAGATATACACGTATAAGCACGCACATACATTACATTCATTCCCCTTTTCATAGACGTATATTCTGAGTGTCTGGTGATATAATAACATATACATTAAGATCAAATGCTGCACATCAATCAGCAAGTTTTTCATCACTGTAGTGGTGATCTTGATTTGTCAGTAATTTGTAGACATTTTCTGGTTTCTGCCACATCATGAAAACATTTTTAAATTAAAATTCACAATAATGTGCGTAAGTGAAATAAAGAATGACGCATACAATGATGGACTGTATCTCTACAAACGGACACACCTACAGTTCAAATCTTTAGTTCCCAGTTGTGTAAATATTGTGTGTAAAGATCTTGCTTTGATTCCAACCAGGCCTAAGAAAGTTATAATATATTTCTTTGAAGTTGATGAAGGCTTTGATTAGGATAGAGTGTTTTTGATTCTTTTACGATACATATGTTTTGATCTTTAGTTTCAGATTAGAATTTAATTTTAGTTGAGATTTTGAAGAGTGGTGTGATAGAGTTTATGTTCTTGAAAATATTTCTTGCTAGTACTTAAGGACAAGATAATTTTTGTAAACATTTAGAAATTATACAGTGATGCTGAAATCAATTCTTGTGTTGAGTTCATTGAATAATTAACTTGTGTTGCTGTTTCATTCCTTTTGTACTTTTGCTTTGCTTTTCAATAAAGTCCTTAATAATCCAAATCGTCTCTTCTTGTGATTCCACATTCAGTTTGTACTACAACTGTAGTTTCATAAATGCTTCTCAAGTATTCTCTACTGTCTCATAAATTACAGCTGGGAACAAATACGTCAGATATGCCATGTGTGTCATGGCGGTCTTGACTTTCCAATGACTCCTATAACTTACTTTATGTGATTAAGTCATTGAAACATGTCTGAAAAAAATATTAAGCATGCATTTGGGTACCATTTATTGATTTATTATAGGTCCTCTGGAAATATGACAATCTGCTGAGTCAGAAATATACATACAGCAACCTGGATTACCAGCTTTGGTGATGTAGACGGTCGTGTAAATGAAATTTTCTTAGTTGCATGACCTCTGGAGTGATTACAATTGAGCACAGCTGGTGACCCCTCTGAGTTGATTTAAAGAGCTCAGCAAAGGTCTGAAGAAGCTGGAGCACAGTTATCAGTGTCAACAGTCGAGCATGCTGTCATTTCACAATGCTGTCGGCTGAGAGCTGCCTTACAAGAAGGAGGCCTTTCACACAGTAAGAAGAAGCTTTATCATCATTGTACATAAAATACAACGAAATTTAATTTGGCATCATCTTTGTAGCAGCTAATATGGTCACAGTCTAAGAAAAAAAGTTAAAATAAATATTAAAACTAAAGTTTTAGATTGGCCTAACCAAGAACATGTGAACTGTGCTGAAGAAACAAGTCTGTGTCAGAAAACCAACACATTTAGTTGAACTGTTCAAATATACAAACTTGCCAGAAGCTTGTAAAAGGTACTAAAAAGGCCCACATGAGGTGAAAATGGCCAAGAGACATTTAACCAAATATTTGTGTTGCCGTAAACTTCTGTTCACGACTGTATATATATATTTACATCTAGATGTTAACTTATTTCTCTACTTTAGGAGGCTTGTACTGAAAGTTTATTTAAAATGAGTAATACAAATGTTTAAAGCAACTGAATGTTTTTTTTTTTTTTTTTTCTACTCTTCATTGCGTATGTAAGCAGAGCCACTCAGCTCTTCTTTACACTACAGCCAGTCTCAGTGTGGTTCCTTTGTTTTCACCTGACAAAACCTGTGACACTGAGATCTGCCTGGCAACAGATGATACTGCAGAAATCAGGAAATTCTGTTTTGTGGCTCCTCTCAATGTCCTGGTTGTCCAAAACTAGTTTTAATTTTTAGTTAAATTTTTTTTCCCCAACTTCAATGGGTTTAATGTTAAAATTACAATACAAACTAATTCGAAGTGATACACTAATTTATGACTGTATATATTATATGGGTTTAATAGCGCTGCTACAATGTTTTTTGGGGGGGGGTTTAGTTTTTGATCAAAATACATCCTTTAGTTTTTAATTTTGTGTTTCAAGTCATATCAAAATTACAAACAACAGAACAGATCTTTACAGACATTTAAAGATTCAGTTGGTTCTTGTTCAATCATCAGAACCTCAATAGGTAAAACCTCTGAGGCTGAGTTCTGCATGGCAACAAGTGACATCACAGCTGTTGGCACTGAATTTATATTTCATCTTTTATGTGTGATGAAAATAGTGTTGTACTATCAATCTATAAACATTTGAGCAATACATTATATAATAAGCATTGTTTTAATAGAAAAGTACCGTTAATATTTAGCCGTGTAACCTGCTCTTTTCAATATTAGTATAGATTTATCACTGACATACGGTGAGGTTGGCATATAACTGATTTTGTAATTTCACCTGGAGCTGTTTTTTTTCCCATATACCAGCTCTGAAAATGACATTTGGCATTCCATGTGTGTTTGAAGGCTCTTTTTTTTTTCTCCAGATGCTGAGTAATACAAACAAATTCTGCCACAATCACGGTGCATCTAAAATTTCTTCCACAGTTCAATATCGTAACATGTAGCCTATTACCTTTTTGTAAAAACCATATTTTATAAAATGTGACGACAAAATCATATTGAATAGGGATTGGTAGTTTACTTGTAGAAGTGTGGTGTCATTTAGAATTTACACATCATCCATCAGTCCTGTGATGAACCTGGTTGGACCCCACTTCTTGCCCACTATCAACTGAGCTGGACGCCAGCCCAACACAACACAATGCAGGATAAGGCAGGTTAGAGCTAATGGAGGGATGGACTGACATCAGCAATCTTTTATCATGTTTGTATGTTTACTTGTGGCAGAAAATGTCTTGCATTGTTTTTAAAAAGAAATAACGTTCTTTTCATTGTCGTTGTGATTTTATTGTTGTGACATTTGAACTTGGCACTTTATATCATAAAGCAATATAATGTATCAGTTCAGGTTAATTATTACAGAACAGCGCAGTCGGTTGAACAACAGTCTTTATTTGCAGCTGTGTGTTGCGTTGGTGAGGTTATTTTAATATGTTGTCTGGTCACGGAACCACCTGGTAGAACTACAGTATCAACATGTTCCATTATGTAATACCAAGAACAAAAACCAGTAATCATTTTCGACATGTGTCCCTGGAACACATTCAGGGAGTTGAACTGGATTTAGGGTCAGACTCAGAACATTCCCTTCCTGTAGCGGTGGATCAACTCTGACACGTCCTCCTTACACACCTTAATCCAGCCGTCCTCCTGCATGTGGTACACTAGACAAACACACAAAAAACATAAATGATCACATAAATGAACTCACTTATTCTCACTTAGGTAAATATAACAAAAAAAATGTCAATACACTTTTTCAGGTGCTTTCTTAGTGGAGTACATCTTTGTATGTAACCTGTCATTGATTTTTGAAGAATTATTTTTGCACATTCGCGCTTAAAAATATGCTGACAGTAGCGAGTAGCACCTATTGAGGCCACTGTTCTGAGGATTTGCCTGGATGGTTGTAATTTCTACTGTCTTATACTGTGTGCATATCTATATTACTGCAGTAATACAAACATACTTTTGCATTAAATAAGAAAAGAAATGTGCAAAGAGTAAACACATACAAGACTAGACTGCAGAAACACTGGTGGCCCTGTGAGGCTGTACAGTAATTCTTTGAGCTAAATGCTAACTCTGGCATGTTAATATTCAAAAGATATGTTCTTTTTATGTTTTAAAACTATGTTTGAATATTTATAAAGTTTTCTGGAGGTTGCCACTTTTTAAGCCCCTTGAAGGTTTTTAGTAACCGTCCAGCACATTCCTTAAATGTGACATTTATATAGTATAATTTTCTATTATGTGTGTAAGTAAGTAAGTAAGTAAGTAAGTAAGTAAATAAATAAATAAATATAAATGAATGAATGAATGATTACAATGTTCATCATTTTACAGTAACATGATAGCCTAATAATAGGGCTAAACAATTTGGAAAAATATATCTAATATGCAATATCTAATTGCAATGTTTTTGACAAATATTACCATTTTAATTGCTATACAACTATTAAAAGTCATCCTCCAATTAAATATTTACTATTTAACAGATTTAAAATGTGATGAAGCTTTACTACATGAGATAACATAAAAAAGTATGCTTAAAAAAAAGTCAGAATTTGTAAAACCAGTGACATTGCAGTTTAAGCCCTGGGTCAGAAGCACTACATACTGTTTATCATAAATTGAAAGCTTTGCAATTACCTAATTGCATTCTTTCGAATTGCAAATTCAAGTTGTTCTACCATTACTTAATAATGTTTTCTAATTAGCACGAAACACAATGGACTCCTGCGGTGGATGGGAACTACAGCTTACAATTCATCCAGAGGGGGACATGACTGTCTGTGGCAATGTTTTATGATTGGTGAAATGTAATCAAGGAGACTGATCATGTTGACTTTGTTTATTTATATTTAAGACTTGTTTATTTAAAAAAAAAAATTTTCATCATTCATCCTTCAGTGTTGACTGACTATGATGTGTAATCAGACAGGACTATAGGTGAGACATCACAAAGTGATGACGACAGATAGAGAGAGACGGCTGCATCAGTTCACAACAACTGGAAAAACACTGAATATTGGATCTGATTATCGCTGTCAAAAGATTTCACTCAAAACAATTAAAGTTTTATACTGTATATCTTAACTTTTGTTCTCAACTTATTTAGCTATGTATTCTTTTTTATTGCTGTTTTATTTTAGTTGTGTTTGCATTTGTTGCATGAATGCATAAATACAATGTAATGTTGACCTTTCTTTCAGCATCAAAGCAAAGAGAATATTATCCTCTGAAGAACATGAATGTCTGTGCTAAAATCTTACAGTAATCCATCCAAAATCTGAGGTTTCAGTCTGGACTGAAGCAGACTGACGACCCATTGATGGACCGACACTGTTGTCTCCTGAGCCGTTCTAGAAACAAAGCCCCAAACAAAAATACAAGACAAGCTTAAAACTCACTGTTCACCACTCCACCAGAGTAGGCGTCCCTGTGTGTAGCGTGAGTGATGCCCCGCCGGCCGAGTTCATACGCCTCCTCTACTGTCATGTCTTCCTTGTAACCGCTGTCCACCACACCGTAGGCGTAGCTGTTCCCACAGCCGGTAGAAAACATACGGCCAGACAGGCGCGTACCATTATCATCCACATAGTACAGACCAGGGCCCTGCAGAGCACACAGTCATTGTATAAGGTCTGCAGGAACTTTTTTTATTTAACTTTCCACACACAATTCTTAATTCTTAGAAACTTAGAATACAGCAGTACTTTCCTACACAGATGAAACCACAACAGATTTATTGTGTAATTATTTGCCATTTTTTTATAGTCTTTAGCTATGTTTTACATATTTTACCATTATGAAGGGCATGTTATTATGAGTAGGTAACTTTTGAATATAAATAAGTATATTACAAACTTGTTTTTTACATATGCCATAACTGCAACAGATAACATCTAGTGTGAAAACATGTCTTTGCCCAACATTAAGCCTCCCTAGTTGCTATCGAGAAATCACATCACATTCTATAAATACCACAATGAATGACTTAGTTCACAGTCAAGTAGTGTGGAATAACAAGCTACATTTCA